AACATCATGCTAAGTGGACTAAGCCAGTCACAAGAGGATAATACTGTACGATTCCACTCATATGAGGGACCTAGAGTAGTCAAATTCATAGAGACAGAAAGTAGAATGGTGGTTGCCAGGGACTAGGAGGAAGAAAAGAATGGGGAGTTAGGGTTTAACGAATATAGAGCTTCAGTTTTGCCAGATGTGAAGAGTTTTGGAGATTGGTTGCACAACAATGTGAATGCCCTTACTACTGAATCGTCCACTTAAAATGGTAAATTTTAGATTAGGTATATTTTACCACAATTGAAAAGTAAAATAAATTTTGTGACCTTGGGTTTGACAAAGGATTCTTAGATATGACACCACAAGCATGAGCAACAAAAGAAAAAATAGATGAATCGGACTTCATGAAAATTTAAAACTTTTGTGCTTTAAAGGACACCATCAAGAAAGTGGAAAGGCAGCCCATAGGATGGGTGAAAATATTTGCAAATCACAAATCTGATAAGCAAGTCATATCTGACTATTTACAGAACAATTACAACTGAATAGCAAAAGGACAAGTAACCCAATTAAGAATGGGCAAAGGCATCTGCAACAACATGGATGGGCCTGGAGGGTATTATGTTAAGTGAAGTAAGCCAGAAAGAGAAAGACAAACACTGTATGATCTCACTCATATGTGGAATATAAACCAACACATGGACAGAGAAAACTGTATTGTGGTTACCAGGGGCAATGGGGGTGGCAGGTGGGCACAAGGGGTGAAGGGAGACATATATATGGTGATGGACAAACAAAAATGTACAACCCAAAATTTCACAATGTTAAAAACTATTAAAACATCAATAAAAAAAAAATTCAATGCAGAGGCTCCGTGTGAGTGAAATGCACCTCAGTGTCTTTTGCTACTTCTTTTGCATACCCCACTCCAAGACCCCCAGAGCAGGCCTGCTGCTCAGAACAAGTCCAGAGTCTCAGATGGGCAGGCCAGACAGCTTTGAAATAAAAAGAATTTTATATTTAACAGTCAATTTGTTTGTCAATAATACCTCAATAAACCTGGGGGGGAAAAACCCACTTATTCGCCCACATACTAACAATAATAATACTACAATAATTAGACTGCCAAAAAAAAAAAACAAAAACAAAACAAAAAGGAATGGGCAAAGGACCTGAATAGACATCTCTCCAAGGAGGATACACGGATGGCCAAGAAGGCAGGCAAAGATGTTCAATATCACTAGTTATGAGAGAAATGCAAATCAAAACCACAATGAGATACTACCTTCCATGTATTATGATGGTACAATACAAAGTCAGATAATAACAGGCCTTATGGATGTGTGGGAAACAGAACCCTTGTACACTGCTGGCGCGAAGTAAGATGGTGCAGCCTCTATGGAAAACAGTGTGGCAGGTCCTCACATAATGAGACACAGTTACCCAATGCCCCAGAAATCCACTACTGGGAGTGAATGAGTGAACAAATGTGTCTATAAAAGGCTTGTACAGAAACGTTTATAGCAACATTATTAATAGTAGCCAAATGGTGAAAACAACTTCAATATCCATCAAGTTATGACTGGATAAAAAAATGTGATATATCCATATAAAAGGATATTATTTGGCCATAAAAAGAAAAGTATTAATAGATGCTAAAACATGGATGAAGCTTAAACACATTATGTCTAGTGAAAGAAGCCAGTCAAAGGACCACATATTATATGATTCCATACATATGAAAGTCCAGATGAGGGAAATTGAGACAGACAGATAGATATAAGTGGTTGCCAGGAGGGACACAAGGAAATTCAGAGTGACTGCATAATGCGGATGGGATTTATTTTTTGAGGTCTGAAAATGTTCGGCAATTAAATAGTAGTAATGGTTGCACAAGATCAAGAATGTACAAAAAGCCACTAAAATGATACACTGTAAAATGGATAAAACAGCAAATTTTACATGTTATGCAATTTCTACATGAAAAAAATTTAAATAATATAAAATATGAATTAACTAAATTATATAAAAGAAAGTGATGATTACTCGAAACACATCACTTTTTTTTTCAATTTATCAAACCTATATATATATATTTTTATTGATGTTTTATTAGTTTTTAACATTGTGAAATTTTGGGTTGTACATTTTTGTTTGTCCATCACCATATATATGTCTCCCTTCACCCCTTGTGCCCACCTGCCACCCCCATTGCCTCTGGTAACCACAATACAGTTTTCTCTGTCCATGTGTTGGTTTATATTCCACATATGAGT